CCCGACCCACCGACCCACCTGCTGCCTCATACGCCTTTCTCCATCCGTCGGTCCCCGCCTCGCCATGGCACCTGACGGCAGCGGCCTTAATCGTCGTGTGGCAGCTGGTCACCTCCTCGCCAGACGGATACAGAGACGACACCAGGGCGTTGCTGGGGTGGCTGCGGTCGCTGCACTCCGCAAGGGACTCCTCGCTGCCGTCACAGTCGGGGATAGAGAAGATGGAGAGTCCCAGTGACGGCTCGCGGTAGGCCGTGACTTGGGACCTGTTGGCTACCTCATAGCCGAGGTGCCGGCAGACCACCTGGGCCTCGCGGAGGGTGAAGCGGTGGTCACTGGGGAGAGAAAAGAAAAAAAGAGAATACAACAAGGAGGGAGGAGGGCGATGGATGGCGGGCTGTAAACGCAGCAGTGGCATGTGTGTGTGTGTGTGTGTATGTGTCTCCCTGGCTGCAGGCACTGCACTGCACTCACCCGCATACGATGCCCCACTTGCCATCTCGATAGATTACAACTCGCCCCTCGTCCATCCCGCCCCTTCCCAGATCCAGCCGCACCTCGCCCTCGACTGACACACACACACACACACACACAGAGACACACGCACGTACATCAGGAGCATCTGCCTCTTTCTTTTCTCACCTGGCTCCGGCGCACACTGTGGCGCGTACGAGAAGTTGCCGTTGGCCTGGCACACACGGACAGCTGGTGGTGGCGGCCATGGCAGCAGGGGCGCGGAGCAGGCCTCGTCGTACAAAAGCTGTGTGTCAACAGGGTATGACGTGTTGCCGTGTTGGCACACACACGGCTGGCAGGAGCCGCCGCAATCGCTGTTTTGCTCGTCTCCGTTCATCAGACCATCACTGCACGAAACTGAGAACAGAAAGGCACAGCAGACAGAGACGGAGAAATGTGTGTATTGCTTGGCTGGCCGGCAACAGATCCCGGTCGGGGTCACTTACCGTTAGTGTCGAATGCTACCGGTGGCGACGTGAGCCTGCTGATAGTCTGCAGCAGGTGCTGCTTCCACGCGAACAGGTGCTCAAGCCGCTCCCAGCGCCGTCGCCTCTCCTCAGCAGATATGGACTCAATCTCCTCCTCGTCTCGCACCGACCAGTCCCACCCCAATCCCACCACCCAGCCCTCCCCTCTCCTCACGGCATACGACGCAGAATGCCCATCGCACTCATACAGTGACAGTGAGTCATCGGGCAGACTCGACGAGAGCACCGTCGACGTGACAGGCCGGTTGAGGAGCGCCTCAGGCGATTGTGCGAAGCGGGAATTGTTCCTGGCGGCCTCGGTGAAGTTAAATATGTCGCAGTAGATAAGGGCGATGGAGTTGTCGGACTTGGAGGTGATTGTCCAGTTGAAGACGGTGTTGGGGACGGTGTGCATGTCGCTCTGCAGTATCAGAACACCACCGCTCTCGACGAAGGACCGAATGGCCGCTCTATCGTCGCTGCCGAGAGCCTTGGCCAAGGCGCCGACTGAGCGGGGAGTGGGCTGGCGGAAAACACACAACATGAAAGATGGCGTGTGGAGGGCTGTGGCTTCCCCGGTGTGTGTGTGCAATGGGCCTACCAGGGCAAGGAAGGATGTGCCTTTTAGCGCCTTCGGCATGCCGTTTTCGCGGAAGTTGTACAGCAGGGTCAGCGACTCCTGCAGCGCCTCCTTCAGTTCCTCTCGCAGGCTGCCACCCGACCCATCACCCTCAACGAGGTCCCTATCGAAAAGGAGCGTCCCGTGTGTCTCCTGGCCCAGCAGCTGCGGCGCGCCAACAAGCTCGGCCTTGCTGCGTCCCACGCTGCCCCTCAGCGCACCGCCCCTCACGCTGCTCCACGCCCCCTCCTCGACCCCCGCGGCAGGCAGCAGCTCGGTCCGCAAAGCCGAGGTGTCCGACGCCTCGCACCGCACCCACAGGTCCTTCGGCTGCCCACCGCAGTCGACCACGTCGCTGCCTTCCACGCCATACCTCTCGAGGCTCCCGCACTCGAGCAGGTTCTGTTCGTGGCCCTTGCAGCGGAGGTGGTGCAGCCAGATGATGGCTGGGGGCGTGTCGGGGAGGGATTTGTGTGGCTTGGTGAGGATGTGCATGGCCTTGCCTGCACCGAGCTGGCGGCAGATGACGTCGGCGTCGAAGAAGGAGAACTCGACGGGGCAGATGGTGCCCCATGAGCCTCTGCCATAAAACTCCACTCTGCCACTCGCCTGGTCGCTGCCGTCAACAAGCCGCACATCGCCCACATCTGCAGAAGGAGAGACGAGACGGAGATGAGGCAGTCCGTCGATGCTCTCTCTCTCTCTTTCTCTCTCTCTCTCTCTCTGTTTTGCTGCCCACCGCACCCGGCTCTTTGATGCACTGAAATGTCGTTGGGTCCTCGTAGAACCCGTCAGGACAGACGCAAATGGCCATGACAGCCCCAAGACGATTCTCACAACTGGCCATTTCGTCACAGACGCCAGGGAGAGCGCACTCGTCGATGTCCACACAAACGCCGTCCTCCGCGTACTCACTGCCAGGGAAGCAGAGGCACTCGCCGTATCCCTCGCCGACCTCCGATGCAAGACACACGGGGCACTCCTGCGGGCCGTCTTCCGCGTCAGTGGGCGGGGGGCTGTCCGCACAGGGATCGGTGTCGGCGCATGCGATGTTAAGCCAGAAGTAGGACGTGGTTTCAAGGGCGGAGCTGTTGGTCTGCATCCATATGCCGCTGTGGGGGATGTTGCCGACGGAACGGACAAAGGCAAACACGTCGGGGGCGCTCGGGTCGCTGCCGTTTACAAAGAGCCTGAAGTGAATGAACCCAACACAACAGGCGATGGTGCAGGCAGGCATGGCCCGCCCCGACAAGTGTCTGTGTCTGTGGCTCCTCAATCTGCCTGCCTTCTCTCACCATGATTCGTGTCTCGCGACAAACACTAGTGTGGCGTTGTTGCGATGGAAGGTCGGCCACGACTGAGAGACGTCCTCTGCCTTCCACATGCCGTTGGCCGCTTCATGTGGCTCGGGAAAGCCATAGATGGAGAGGTACTTGCACACCTCACACGACCCTCTCACCAGCTGCACCTCGTCGATGGCCACGGGCAGGAACTGCTTGGATCCTACAGATGCCCCATTGCGCGTTGCCTCAAAGGTGATGTTGAAGGCACTAGAAGCGGAGAATCGCGTCATGGCGAGCTGCCAACTATCGCCATGGTCCAAACCCCCCACCGCCCACAGCTCCCTCGACACCCCGTCTTCAGTCTTGGTCACGGTCAAGCTGCCCACAGCACTGCCGAACAGGTGGTAGGCGAACTGCAGGCAATACTTGGTCAGTGGCGATGAGGGGATCTCCGGCGGCGACGTGATACGCGTGGAGCCCTCCATCCCACTACTCCATGCCCACAGGTACGATGGCGAAAAGTAGCCGGCGCGCGGCAGGGAGGTGACATCTGTTAGCAGGTCCTGTGGACCGGTCGACCAGGCTTCTGTGTCGCTGAGGTCGTTCCTGTAGCCGCACATGGCGCCTTCAAACGAGCATGACACTTCCGGACACCCCCCGTCCCATATCATGATGTCGTCCAAAGCCAGCCCGCCCCCCCGCTCCTTGAGATAGACATGGCCCTCAATGACGACGCGGAAATCCACATCTGAGCTGAAGAACAGCCTGGCAACGTGCCAGGTCCGCCTTCGCTTCTTCAAATGGGCGCTAGTCCAGCGCGCAATGGTGCGAGAGGTGGCGAGGGAGGTGTAGTTGCCCGTTGACGCCGGGACCACATAGATAGCCAGGCGGTCGGCAGGAGACGTCGACTCAGGGGCGGTCAACTGGTAATGGACTTGCAAGCAGAACCCCTGCACACCACAAAAGACATCCATGGGGGGGGGG